GGAATTACTTTACTTAATGTAAGCAAACTGAACATTTTGAAACTTGCTCCTGGTGGGCATGTGGGACGTTTCTGCATTTGGACTGAAAGTGCTTTCCGCAAGTTAGACGATCTGTATGGCACTTGGCGTAAGGCTGCCTCCCTCAAGAGTAACTACAAGTGAGTGTTCTTCATGTTCGTATATTGAACACAGTTGTTCATTCTGTGGTTATTCACATTCAGAATTCATTTGCATGTTTTCTAAATAATGGATGATGTTGTGTGGCCATTTCCCTTTATGTACAGATTCAGTATTGTGTAATGGTGAGATATTCTGAATGGTGGTAGTGTAATGGAAATTCTGATGGAACTCTGGAGGGTTTCAGTGTTTACTGAGAAATAGGAATTGAGCATCTTACTGTTCAACATTTTTTTCTTTTCAGCCTTCCCATGCATAAGATGCTTAATACAGACCTTAGCAGAATCTTGAAAAGTCCAGAGATCCAAAGAGCCCTCCGAGCACCACGGTAAAGTTGTGATACTTGCTCTTGCTAAAGCCTCATACTATTGGTTATTTCAAAAATGTGGGTAATGTGAATAAAATACTAATGGTACTACCTTTTTACAGCAAGAAGATTCATCGCAGAGTCCTGAAGAAGAATCCACTGAAGAACCTGAGAATCATGTTGAAGCTAAACCCATACGCAAAGACCATGCGCCGGAATACCATTCTTCGCCAGGCCAAGAATGTGAGTGTTAATTTGGTTTTTGATGATAGGTCAACTTTTTTTTTTTAGAAGGATAGGATTCTTAAGTTGTTCTCTTAATTTGTTGCAGCACAAACTTCGACTGGATAAGGCAGCAGCAGCCTTAGAAGCCAAATCAGATGAGAAGGGGGTTCCAGGCAAGAAGCCTGTGGTTGGGAAGAAAGGAAAGAAGGCTGTTGGTGTGAAGAAGCAGAAGAAACCTGTGGTGGGGAAAAAGGCTGCAGCTACCAAGAAACCAGCAGCTGACAAGAAGCCTGCAGAAAAGAAACCCACTGCAGAGAAGCCTACTGCCTAAAAACTTACGTTAATTCTATAAAAGTCAAGTTATTTTGGACAGCTAATTTTGAATAAAGACCTGATGAAAGCCAGTGAGAAACACGAA